GGGGGGGGGGGGTGGGGTGTGTGCGTGTTGAGGGGTGATCCCTCTTTTAGATTCCCTCAGTAGCTCTCTATTTTGAAACCACTACCGTGATTCCTTGTTTCTTTCTGCGATTTGTTAAACACACTATCCTTCAGAAGCCAAAGAATTTCCATGTGTAAAGGCCACGTCTGCTACTGAAACATACTCTGTTTGAAGTATCTCAGAGCCTAATTGGGATCTTCTATCTATTACTTCTCAAGGTCAGGAAACTGGAGTTTAGCAGTTTTGAAAATTATGTAGAAACTGGATACTTCCCCTGAACTAGCACACTAACCTTCTAAAACACCACAGTAATACTACTGCAAGATGACATTTCTTGAACCATGGCTGTAGTACTGAAGTATTCACAAGGTAGGTACTGTACTGTTGCTTACAGCTGTTTGCATAGATTTACAGTGGTATAATCTGGCCTAAAAGAAGCATCTGAATAAAGATAAAAATTCCAAGCGCGCCCAGTTGAAAAATACAACATGCAGTGCTTTTTCCAGCATTCTTACTGTGTGTGTTTCCACCGCTTTTTATGTCAGCTTAGAAGTGTGGACATCATTGCCTGACTGAATTCAGTGTTTGTAGTCATTTCCCATCCTGTTTATTAAATAAAATACCCCCGACAACAGTTCCCTAGTGGGTTCTAGTCTTTTACACATGGAAGGCTAGGCAGAGACCACAGAGTATTCAAAAAAGGTCGTCTTCAGCTTCAGCAGATATTGAGGTCAACTGCTCCAACTGCTCCGCTGTTACTTATGTCCATACCTCTTAAAGTAAGTGAAATAGCTGTCATCACCAGACTGGATTTCAACTCTGCAGAGGGTAATTATCAAAACTTAAACATTGGTCTGTTAGAACTGAAACACCACTCTGTCCTTACAGCAAACTAGCACTACCCTAATTCTTCTCCAAATGCCCCGTCTCCAGAAAATTTAAACAGAAGCCTATGATAATCTTACACAGGCAACATACAGTTTTCAGTATACTGCTCCCAAATTCGGAGTTTTTGCTGAGGGTGTTGTGCAGGTTGCAAATCAGGACTCTTAGAAGTAGTGCTGCTCATATTTCATCACACATACAGTGTGAAACATGGGAAGTATATGGAAAACAACATTTTTGGAGCGGGATCAG